ATGAGCAGTGAGTTTGCCTTTTTAACGTAAAAGACGATGATTCTGGTTTCACTGATACCATCTTTAGTTCTGCCACATGTAATTCTGTTTAACAGTGTTACTTTTGGAACGGAATTAAACTTAACGTGCTCCTATCAGCGAGAACAGAACCGTGCTGGGTTTCTAAGTGCAGTAGTGTTATTTTGTCATTAAGATTGTTTTGACTGGGCTCTTCAATTTAACGAGCCCTTTTTCCATCCTTGACACATCGGTTGAGCACAATGGTGGCAAAAGTCCCAGCAGAAACAATACCCATCGAGGAAGAAGTCCTAGAGGTGGGCTTGGAGCTGGCTGCTCTTGTGGGCTGATCACGGTGACACACCCAGGGCGGGAGTTTTGATAGGAAGAGATCCAGGTGTACTTTTGGGACACTATGATCTGTTAAAGTGACACCAACAGCTTCTAAATAATAATGTTGTATCACAGAAAAGCCTGTGCATCTTTACAAAGTAATTGTTCCGTGCAGTCTTGTACCATCTTTTTTTCCTGTTTGTGTCATTACATTTTCTCCATATTTACTGCATGTACAGGTCTGTAATGGAAAGGGTTCCTTTTTTGTAGTAATTCTGTTTTTATTTCCAGCTATGTAACTGACTACAGAGACAGGACAGCAAATGCTCCTTCACATGAATAAGAAAATCTCTGACAGCAGTAACCACCTTCTTGATTACGATTAAATTCCCTTTAAGTGCTGCAATCTGACTTCAAATCCACTTTGTGCAGAATGGGCTATATAAGTAAGACCAACCTGATGTGGTATCTTGTCCAACTGTGTTGTCTGTAAACCATCTAAAGATGGCAACAGAAATCCTTATTACATCAAGACAGAGAAAATCCTCTATGTGAAACAAAACTCTGTGCAGTCTGTGGTTTAAAGGTCTGCAGTACAAGGTCTGATTTTAAGAATGGTTTTTGTTTGAATTTTTGTCCACACTTAACATTTCATCCATCTCTGTGAATTATTAACATTACCTTTGAACATTAGTTTTGTGTTTTTGAATACTAAACTTGTTTCACAATGGGAAAGATTTTCAAAGGGTGCACTGTACACACGTAGTGTCACCTGTAAGGCTGTAACAGCAGCTTGGAGAGTGCTGGCATGACTGACTGATGCAGGAAAGGCCGCTTTGAGACTTGGTCTGGCTTTGATCAACTCAGTGGGAAATTTTCCACTGATTTCAATGATGTCAAGGTCAAATGTGTACGTGAAAAATGGCCTTTATAGAGCTGTGTTATTTTCCATGGTGCAACAGTGAAGGTTCTTTTTTCCTAAGTAAACTTCCTCACATTAACCTGGATAACATAAACATTCTGGAGAAAAACAAAGGCATTTTAGAAAAGTCTGGGCTGGAATCCTTGTTTCCCACAATTAGAATAGCTCTGTGTAATCATTCCAAATTAGTCTGGAGTAAATAAAAAGCGCTGCCAGGCTGTAGCAGTTAGGACAGGCATAACATAGGATGTAAGTTTTGAACCATGAAATATCACATCCCATGTGCTGACAACAGGAGCCTGTTTGGGCAAGAACATTAAACTCCTGGATTTTTTTAGAGTTTTGAATGTAAACTTACTGGGGAGCAAAGCACACCTTTCTTTTGTCTCTAGAAATGTAAATGAGACATTAGTTGTAAATTCTGTTCTATTTGACATTGAAGTTACTTTGAAAGAAAGGCGGTATAAAAGTTAAAAGATTGCTATTGTAGCGCTGCTGCTTCACTGAAGAATTAACCAGGGCTTGGGAATTTGCCAGAGCTTGTTGCTTTTGGCTCATTTCCAATCAAGCCCTTAAGAAAGCCACCAACATGTTATTGCTGTGTGATCAAACACCACAGTCTGCAGAAAACATTAGACCCATGCTAATTTACTCCCCTAATTTCATCTGGTCAAAAACTGGGAATAAAGATTGCAAAAAAACATTTCAAGGGAAATGCCACAGTTTTTCTTAAAGTTATGTATTGTGAAGTTTTGTATGAAATATGGTCAGCCAAATGTAAATTCTTTGCATCTAAGGATGCTGTGTTACATTGCAGTTCTAATCCCAGCTCATGAACCATCTGTCAGCCAGGAGAGGAAAGCTGTTCAGATGAGAACAGTTACAGCCTTCTCCGTTTTTAAAGTTCACATTCTCAGGTTTGTAGCCATACCTTGTTGTTCCACGCTGGCAGGTTTGTTTTCATACGTAATGCTCATAATAGTGGAGTTAAAAACAGCTCTGTCACGCTGTTGATGGACAGCAAAGTACAGCAGCTCCACAAAGCTGACAAAGTAGCCTCACTTTTACAGTTTTCACAAAACTATCATATATTTCTTCATCTCACCCTTGTAGAACCAGTTTCTTAGTGTAAATGCAGGCAGGTTTGATAGATCAGGTAGGGGTCAGGTAATTAGGTGAGAAAACTGCAGCCGTGAGGAAACAATTTAGGGATTGCCCATTCACCTGAATGAACATTTCGGTTACTTTGTCCTGTTTCCTGCACTGCTGGTGGTCACATCATAGTCAGCCTCTCGTACATTCTGTGTGCACAGCAACTTCTGTGATGAAGCAGACAGGGCAACTTATCTGGCAAAAAACTAACCTAGAGAAACAGATACCTAAATGACTTCTGTTTCAGCATCTAGCTGAATGATTGGGATGTACCAGCACAACAGGGCGTGGAGGTGTGGAGAAGGAATTGTCCTGGAAAGCGAATAAAAAAAGTTCTGGAATTTAATAATTTTCAAGCACAGGCTTGGCACAGGTTTAGGTCAGACATTGTCATGGGATTTGCTGTATTTGTAGGACTAGCAAAGAGCTTTTTTGTCCACATGGTTTCGAGTGAGGAGTGTAATCCCCTGCAGGAGCAAATATTTGATTTGACAAATTTTCTAGAAAAAATTTTCCCAAAATGAGATCGGTTTTTGTTGGATTACATTTTTTATGTATATTTTTTCTCTCTTTCTTCAAAACATAAAAATAACTAAAAGGCAGGACATTTTTTTTTGTTATGTTAGCCTGCAGTACAAGCACTGGATCCTTTTCCTGTGCTGCTGGAATGCCCAGTAAGACAGCTGATATTGAGGGAGAATTAAGCTTTAAAGCACTGAGTTTCACCACAGAAAGTTATATCCAAGGAATGCAGATGTCATTGCTAATGGAACTATTTAGTGTTTAACTTTATCAATACATTTATTTTAATGGGAAATATATCTTTAATGCTAAGGATGGCTGATCCAAAGCATCTAGAGAAAATTGTAGAAAACCAAAACAGCTAAATTGATTAAGTAGGCATTGAAATAACCAATGGTGATTTTAAGAAGTGGTGGCTCAGAGAAACTGCAGGCATTGAAAAACTTTGGCAAAGTAAGCTAAAGACAATTAAAATAAGAAAAAAAGGAAGTATGGCTTGGCACGGAGTAGGAAACAGGAAAAGTTCCAGTCACTGTAATTGGAAAGAAATGTAAGACATTTTGCAAGAGATACCAGCATCATGAAACTGGGTCAATTTTTAATAGAGAAAATTCTCACACACAAAAACCGTGTCTACTGGGTTGTGGCAGAATGCAGTATTTTTGAGGATATTCATTGCTTTTCCAGATGTGTGTTTTGTCCTTTATGGTTTGGCTGAGACCACAGTGACTAAAAGAAAGCACAGCGTGTATCAGAGATGTGGGAAAGTTTCTTCACCCTTTGCAAACTTCCCTCTAAACTGACTCTGACTTCCAGTTACACAGAATGTTATAAGTATCAAAGAATCAAGATGGTTTTCTTTTCTCATATTAATTTGAGTTCAGTTCTTAGTAAATGTAAACTCTACCTTCTTGTCTCTGATTGACTTCATATGCTTTAGGACAACATTTCCCACTGATCACTCCAGCTGTCTTCCTACTTGGGAAAAGCAGGAGCATCTGGCATGGGAGCTGTTGCCAGAGAAGAGGACCAGAAATACTATTTTGGAGTATGAAAAAATGAGTGTTTTAGGGGACTGTGTGTACACATACCATTTCTGCTTGCTTCTTTATAGATACACTGATTCTTCAAGTAATGACTAAATTTTTGTAATTGATTATTTTAAAAAGATAACACTTTATCTTTTTTTTTTGTCTTTGAGAACACCCCTGCAGCCAGTTTTGCTCTGCTTGCCAGTGTCCATTCTTTCATCCCTTTTGGGAAGTTCCCAAAGAGTTTAAGAAAACAAAAACAACATTAAGTTTATTAGTGTTTTTCATGCCATTGAGTAGAGAATTATGTTCCTTTTATGTAGAATTATATAGGATGTTTAGTCTCTCCTCCCCTATAGCCGGGTCATATTACTTTGGGAAAATAATTTAGCTTGTTTTTAGTTCATTATGCCCATTCATAGAGTGAGTATAAAGTGTGTGTGTCAAGTAGCAGTTACAAGACTTCATTATTTAATAAAAAAAAGGTACATATACGTTTGAGATATAAAACCAAGATTGTGTAATTTTTGGTCATCAGTAAGAATGTGATGAGAAAGATTAAAGGAAGATGATGAGGAAATAGAAAATAATAGGTTCCAGACTTCCATTGATAAGTGAAAGATTATCAAAGAGTGATGATTACAATTTGGAGAGTTAAATGACAAGTAATTTCATTTAGGTCAATACAATACTATCATTTGAGACTGGAATCAGGCCTTATCAGCAGTACCATTTGCCATCTAGCAGTTTTGAGATGAACAAGAGTATTTAATTCTCAGACCTTTCTCCCCTTCGGATAAGACAGAAAATATTTCTGCTTGTATGGCTGCATAATTCCACTACAGCTGACAATACTTGAATTGTTGTGCTTGAGATACGGAACAGATTTATTTCCAATTTTCTATCTTAAGTAACTTCTTAAAGGTAGAACCTGCTAACTTATTTTATTTAAAAGACTAATACCAAATGATATATAATTTTATGATTTATTGGTATGGTGCTTCTCCCTTAACCAAAAGGGTTTTATTGTATTTTCTTTTTAGGAAGGAGGCACAGCTGGATGAAGAAGGACAGTTTCTGGTCAGAATAATTTATGATGACTCCAAAACCTATGATCTGGTTGCAGCTGCAAGCAAGGTCCTTAGTAAGTAACACAAATGTCTTCTTTTCCCATTCATCACAAAAAAGATAACCCAGCTGCCAAAATCCAGAGAGAAACAGGATTTAGCACTGGGGAAGCGAAAACAAGGTATTGGTCAAAGAGAGGATGAAAAAAAATCTCAGAAGAAAGGATTTTTTTCCTTTGATTTATCTAAGATATTTGGGTCAAATCCATTTTCAGTCATTGCAGCTCTGGTTTGGAATTTAAAAGGTAGAATTATGCCCATCAGCTTGATTTTATCTGCAGACCCAAGTGCGGTGTGAATTTGTTCTGTATCGTAATTAACCCAGGAACCTGTAAGACTGTGATGACTGTAGTAATGTTGAATTGGAGCAGCTGATGTGGTTGCATGCTGTTGTAAACCAGAAGTAACTGCCCTGAGGCGAGCACTGCTAACAACCGAGTTCCTTTATTAGTAGTGATTTCTTATCTGTATCACAATCTAAAATGGTCTACATGTGTGAAATGTACAATGTGGCAAAGTCATAATGGTAATTAGTAAATCCTAATGAAATTCCTGTATTGAATACTCATTATTTGCCATGTGGAACCTGAATCTTCGTTTTTCTCATACCTGCGGGATCTGGGTAGAATTTAGGTACTGTCTTTCTTATTTATGAATATGAGACTAAAGTAGTAAGCAAAGTGCCTGAAATGCAATGTTTGGACTGAACCATGTTTTCCTGTTTTAACTAGATCTGAATGCTGGGGAAATTCTTCAGATGTTTGGGAAGATGTTTTTTGTGTTTTGTCAAGAATCTGGCTATGATACAATTCTCCGTGTCTTGGGCTCCAACGTCAGAGAGTTTTTGCAGGTAAGAATTTTGTGCTGCATTATTTCAGATACCAGACAGAAGTACGGTCTAGCCAGCAGATGGAGATTTGGAGATACAGGTTGTGCTGTATAATCTCCCAGTTGTTTGTTGAGGGGTGTCTGAAAACTTTCTTCCTTGGTATTTGTATTCTGTAAAGCTTTCCACTGCTCAGCAATTTTGGCATTGTTGTCCCTCTCAGTTAATACATTATTTAGTTACCGGATAGAGTAATAATTTTCCCATAGCACCTTTAACTGTTAAATTTTGTAAAACAAGAGTGAGAAGGGAGGTAAGCTGGGTTTGCAGAGGCATTCAGAAATCTGAAATTTCATTCGGAATTCCAAAGAAAAGTTTTGAACAGGAGTTTTGATATGTAACAGAAGTATGGAGTGCAACAGACATGAAAAAGCCCACCAGTTCAAATTGGCTGTGTGTGTTAAGTGAAAAGACTTCCCTTGTTTACACCAATAGAAAATGTGGTCTTCACGTTTGCAGCGTGTTTCTTCTCCTAAGTTCTCTTTGACTAATTATAGATCCTGGTTATTTCTGACTGTACATTATGTACAGAGCTAACTGTACATCATGCACAGCTTATCTCTAAGACATTATCCTTCATCCTTGAACTGAGGGTGGGACAGAGCAGCAGTCTTTAAGTCATTTTTTGTGCTTTCTTAACTGCAGAACAATGTGTTACTGCACTGTGAAACAAAACAAAATGAAAATGATTTTTCAACAGGATGGAAGAAATGTGGTGACTTCTCTAAGGTGTGATTTCTAAGTGTAGAAAAAATGGGCATCCCTTTTTTGTCACCTTAAAATTGTTCACTTCAGAAAAACATTTTGGATTTAAGATTTGTGGTATATATCAGTCTGGGAGAGAACTGTGTGCTATAATGAGTTTAAAACTGCTGAACTTATTTCATGGGAGATTGCTCAAAAGCAGAATGTCCAATCTCTATCAATTTTCACTGAAAATTTAGCAGCCTCTTGTCATCTCCTCCCTGAAAACCTCTCCAACAATAGTAAGTCAAAAGACCACAGCTGATAGTTTGCTGAATTACTAGAACATTTACTTCTGTGTCTCACTACCTACCCCAAAACCTCGATTATTCCAGAGCATCCTAGATGTAGTCAACCCAGACTTCTTGTACAAGCTCCATGGACGGTAACTGCTGGGCACACAGACAGGGTGTGTGGATGCTCCAACATGTGCCTACCATGTGTGATCTGTACACCATTGTCTGCCTGTGGGATGTGACATCCTTTATATTTCACAGCTTCATTCCCAGGCTGCCCTCCAAGCAGATAAATGGAGTTTTCAAAGATGACTCTAGTACTGAAGTTGTGGTTCGGGTTGAACAAGAATAGGAGAGGAAGAAAAAAAGATGTAGCTGGGCCATTACTTCATCGCTTTGGGTGCACATGGGTGGGCCAGTCCTTCCCTATTGCTTTCCCTCAGACCCCTTTCCATGTAGTTTACTTCTCTTTCCATTCCTTACCATGTGTGGTGATGAAAAGACTGGACATGTTTGTAGTGTGCACCAAACATCTAAGTAAGCTTGAATAGCTTACATTTATATTCTTCTAATGACAGTATTTTAAGCTGCTTTGTTTGAATTTCAGTGTTAACAGATGACATTGGCTATTATACAGTTCTGTAAAATTTAACAGGACTAATGTATTAGTTAGCTGTGCCAGAAGTGTACTTTTTAGCTTTTTATTATGATGGAAAATCAACATTATCTGTGATTTATTATTTTTGCATCTTTCAGCAGTCAGGTAAGGTCAGGAAACTAATATATATGTACCTATTACAAAAACAGATGCAGATTGGATTTACTGTGCTGAACTTTTGACAGACTCTTAAAATACATAATACAGTTCAAAAAGGTGCTTCTTGAAATCTGTACTGAGTCTGGGATATACAAAATAATTGAGGACTGCAACTTTTAAAGCATATGAAGAGAAATCTCATATTAATGTTCCATTTCCCTTGGCATCTCAGTGAAAATTTAGTTTGTCTGTAGATGAAACACAGGTACTTCAAGCTTCATGAAAGAGGCAAAAGATAGTGCAACTCAGTCTAATTTTTATACTTTCTATGTAAAGCACAGGAATGGAAAAATTGCAAATCATATTGAAAGTCACTGTGGCAAAGAGAAGCAGTGTGAAAAGAGGCACCTTCTAAGAAAAAGTGTGCTTTTGTGTTATGTGCAGCTTTCTACTGAGTGAAAATCAAACACTGGAGTAGGGTTAGTTCTCTCATTTAGGGAATGAGACAGCTATTTAGTCGTTCATAATTGCAGTGCAATAAATTTTGGGAGACTAATTCCTCTTTTTGGAGAAGTTTCCAGATGTTCTGTGTCACACAGAGCTGAACAGCATATCTTTGTATTTCAGGTGCCAGTCACGACTTTTTTGCTTTTGGACAGGCCAGGATCTGCCTGGTTTGGTATCACTGCTTGTTCTTGCTCGTAGATCCCTTTGTGTTCACCACAGAGCTGATCACTGCTCTCCAGAGCTCTAGAATTAGTGTCTCTGGTCCCAGCACAAGCTCTGGCATACATCAGAGCCATCTAGAAGCCAAGAATTCAGGGAGAGAGTTTAACTTATTATGATCTGTACCTGGCCACACCTCTGGCCCGCAGCAGGTGATCAAACTAGAAAAAAAATACACATTTGTTCTTCCAGAAAATGAAATACCAGTTTAGAATGGACCAAGCACAACAAAAAATAGGAGCAGGAGAGACAATGACAATGACAAGAGTTTTTTTCCAAAATGTTGATATATCCCAGCTGTTTCTGAGGCGTTTGTACTGGAAGAGCAGTTCTGTACCCCATTAAGCAGATTTTGGGGCACTACCTCAGAGCCAGTCAGCTCTCTTGCTGTTTTCTCATCCACGCTTTCAAAGTGGTCTCTTCCAATTTCATTGTCTTGAACCCCGCAAAGATCTTCCAGAGTTTGCCTTCAAGCATTATACTTTGCTATTGAACGGCCACCAACAGCTGGAATGAATTGACTCCCAGATTGTTGCCTCTCCAAGTCTTAATTTGAAGGTGTTGATATAGCAACACAAACATGAATTTGGAAAAAAATGAAAAAACTGAAGGAAGAAGCTCCAGGCTGAGCGCATCCTACGGAATTCATTTCTAAGAGCTTCATTTCCTCTGGAGGCCTCCCAAGAGAAGAGGCAGCTGTCTGAGCGCTTCACAGCTCACATGAAATCAAGTTCAGGATGCTTCCACAAATTTGATGATCGACAGATGCTCATGAAAGGTGGAGAAAGGCCCAGACAGCACATTGAAAATATTTTCACCTTACTTCTTGCGCTGGCAAAAAACAATATGCAAAGCCTGGTGGTAGCAGTTGCCTGGGGCTGTGAGAGAACAACATTTAAAATATGCAGTAATGTTCTGGACTTAAGATGTAAAGGAGTTGCATGAATTTTACAACATAGGTAAATAATTATTGCAACGCTATCCAGCAAACTAGGCTATTCTTTCTGTGTTAGTTATACAGTAAATAGCAACCTGGAGCCTTTATAATTTCTTCGCCATCAAAGTTGGAGCTAGTATTGTGTTCTAAGTGGGATTTTTATCTCATCGTTCTCTTTAATGCCCTTATTAGATATGCCTATCAATTTATCATTTAGCTTTCCTCTCCAGATAGCAATTTGTCTGGTCAAAATTTAAAGTTAAATACATAAGATGTCTAGGACATCAGCTGGAAAAACACAAGACCTCTTCCCTTTCCTGAATAACCATTTCTGAAACATCATTACAGCAGCTGTGCTATGTTCTATGTATTCTGTGGATTTTTTCAGTTTTTCTCAAAGAAAATACGTATTTGAGGTTTTACTCATTTAGATCTTTAAAATTTGAAACTTTATCAGGCCCTGTAAACTTTGGTTGACTGGTATGGTGTCAGAACTAGCCTGTCTCATTGAGAATAAGGAAAAAGATTCATGTGTATTCCGTCATGCTTATTTGTACTTGACACCTAAATTCACATCTGAAAAGGAGATTATGTGGACTAGAATTGGAAGGGATGAAAATGGATGAGGCACAGGATTGAGAAACACACACAACGTCTTCAGTCATCAAAGTGTTTCAAAATACAGCATAGTCAAGCATGAATTCTTACTATCTGTAGTAATTCCTAATGGTGCTAATTTTTATGCCATTCATTGTCCAAATATTGCCACTGTAGATGGAAAGAGCCATCACAAGCTACCTGAAAAGCCTGCTGTGATGGCAGCTTTACAAATAATAAGGCAAATGCACAGGGAGTGTGAGCAGTAGGAGAAAGGGGATGATCAGATTAGACAGAATATGTTCTTATTTCTTCAGAACTAATAAGTGAATGCTTTATAATCCTGTTTTTAATCTCTTCTTCCAGAACCTGGATGCTTTGCATGACCACCTTGCTACCATTTACCCGGGTATGCGAGCCCCTTCCTTTCGATGCACTGATGCGGAGAAAGGGAAGGGCCTCATTCTGCATTACTACTCGGAAAGAGAAGGTCTCCAGGATATTGTCATCGGGATCATCAAAACAGTAGCTCAGCAGATCCATGGCACCGAAATAGATATGAAGGTAATGTCTGAAGGGATTGGAAGTTTTTGACATTAGGACGTAATCATGAAAATCAGAAGTGAAGTGATGGCAAACAATTATTTTCATTGTACTTGTCCTCTGTGAAGCAGTGGCATCAGTAGTGACTCAGGAAGGGCCGTCATTGTTTTTGTTGTTTTAAGGACAGCAATGTGCTGAGAAGGTCAGCACTAATTTGCAAACAGGCCAAATCAGGAACAGTTCAGAGCAATATCCCCTTATTTGAAGAAGGAGGTGACATGTACAGAAATTAGATACTGGGTTGTTTGGGGTGCTTTTCTCCACTTTATTTTATATTTGGCATATATTTCTTACCATCTACTGTGTTCTGTGAGAACATTTTGTCTCTGTGTCCTAGACTCTTCATCTATGTGCAAACTGTGAGGCTGATGTGTGTTGATGAGGCCTGGCTGGCGAGCAGTGTTTTCCTCTCAGCCTGCATGCCACGTCTGTCCCAGAACCAAGATGTGTTTGTGAGTCTCATACTATCATTGCGTGAGACTGTGGCTGGATATGCATCTACAGCCCCAAAAGTGGAAAAATGTTCCTCACTCACAGAGTTTGCATAATATCATGGGTGCTAAGTCACTTGTGAAATGGGAAGGTTTCTGTGTTGTATCCATACAAAGCAACAGAAGGGTTTAATTGATCAGGCTTTGTATGTGTAAAAGTATAAAATCAGAGCTTGATCCAAGGTGCAGATACACCTGGGAAAAACAGCAAACAGCTTTATGGTGTTAGAGATATTGGAACTGATACAACATACTTTTCATCAAGTAGAAAATAATCTAAGCACGTACAGAAAGCATTTTTTTTAACTATTCCCTAGTCATATTACATTTCTAGCACAGCTTCATTGTAACAGCTCAGAAAATCTGTACCAGTTTCATGAGTGTGTCACGAAACCATGATCTTGCTCAGATAACAGATTTACAAGCAACCCAATGACAAAGTACTGTACTGCTGTATTGGAGCATTTGCCTTCGAGTTTCTTGTTACAAGCTAGCTCACGTTTGTAGTGAATGGTTAGGTCTGTGTAGTGATGGTGATGTACTTGATGTCCTTCTTTAGACAAGGTCCGTTGTAGAAATCCGTAGTTCAAACTCTCACAGCAGGTGTTGGTAATCAGATACGGAAGGATGCAACAGAAACAAAACAATCCTCTTCTTAGGTCCTTGTTTATTCAAAGTGTTGAGACAGACAAGGAGGACCATGTTGGAAAATTGGCTGCAAGAGCGCCGAAGCTGTTGCTTGACAAGCGTTTCTTTTGGTAGCACAGGCAGCTTACGCAGTCCTCCTTCTCTCAGTGCTCAAGCTTGTCTTACAGCAGCTTCTTCAGCTGTGTCTCTCCAGCTGTTGTCAAGCTATAAAATAAACTATACTGAGGAAATGGACTGGGTTCAGAATAACAGGGTTTTTTTTCTGGGTTATTTTTACCCACGTCTGTTCATTTATGTGGCTCGGTGTTCAGTCAGAGAGAGTTCTGCCAGCACAGTCGAGGGGTCATGCAGAGACAAGAGTGATCACTGGGACAGAGGAGAAATCTGGGCTGTGCAAAGCTGCTACCAGATCAAACATTCGACAAACTGTGTGCCCAGTCTAAATATTACTTTGTTGAGGAGATTGTATTGGACAGTACTGATATCCACCTAGGAATTCTCACAAATAATATATGTTCCATAGAGGTTTAAATACTGCTTCCAAATTTACTTCTTGTTTTCATTTGACTTTGTCGGGCTTTTCTGGAAATGTTTTTGTTGTGCTGGAATTAAACAGAAGTATAATGGTATTGGTCAACCCTATTGTAAGTGAGCACAAAGTTTAATTTAAATCCAAACTACTCTTCCAGACCACATGAGCCGAAAGCACATAGGTGCCTAAAAATTAGTATGACCTCTTCACTGGAGTAGGTGCATATTGTCTCTACCTTATTTTGTCTGTTACCCTGGTTTTTTTCCTTGCCTCTATTAGAAAGGCATGTGCCTTCAACCCTGAACTTTTTCTTGTCTCTGCTGGTTAATAAAGCCTTACTTTTGACACCTTTAATGACATTAAATAGTGCTTTAATCCATAGGTACTCACAGACTTCAGTGGTAGGTAAGCAGAGTATAATCAGCTCCTTGTTTCTGTAAGGTGAGAGTGCCAAAATGTGCAGCTTATCCACACAGACAATGAAAGTCTCCCTCCATTAATCCACAGGTCAATTATTAATCATTCTTGGCACAGAGTTAGGGTTTTAAAGCAGAGTAAGTCTGCCATTGTGGTACCTGGCTAATTTTACACTCTTCAAAAAAATAAGAGCAGAAGTTAAAAAATGACTGACTTCTTTCATCTCGATCCCTTGCTTCATCATTTATTAAATTAATGCTTTCATGTTTCAGCCTGTTAATAATGCATTGTTTGAAGTAGCACAGCACAGAAAAAGAATGGAGTTGCTTTTCATACTCTCAGGTTTTGTGGACAAATCAATGCCTTTTCTGTAACATTTTTGGTTTGGACTTTAGTTAGACTTTTTCTTAAGGAAGACTTTTTTTTGGAGCTGATAAGCACCTCGGTGCCTGGCCCTAAATTTCTGTTGCTGTTGTGGGAACTGTCTTCCTACTTGCAGGAACAGAGATGGGATTCTCGAGTTGTCCTTCCAAATCTCCTTATCTAAAGCATTTACATAACAGTCCAACACAGGACTCTTGATATTAGGGTAAAGTTGATATCTGCAATTTGATGTTTAATACATTATAATCCACTTTTCTTCTAAGGCTGTTTAGAACAAATGCTTACAGAAATCTGCTTGAGAGAAGGCGTGCTTCTAAGTTTGTATTTCCATGAAATTTTGCTTGAATTTGTCTTACATGTTACCACTGTCTATGAAGGTGGTAGCAGATCCTAATTGTTTACAATAATGCTGTTTTTCTTTCATTAGGTGGAAAGATTTTGTTTCATGGGTTACGCAGAATCACAGACTGGCAGAGGTTGAAACGGACCTCTGGAGGTCATTTAGTCCAACTCCCCTTGCCAGTTGCTCCAGACCATGTTCAGACAGCTTTCAGCTATGTCTAGGGATGGAGACTCTGCAGACTCCTTGGACAGTGAGTGCCAGCACTCGGTCCTCCTCAAAGCAGAGTGTTTCCTGGTGTTCAGACAGAACTCTCGTGTGTCACTTTGTGCCCTTTGCCTCTTGTCCTGTTACTGGGCACCACTGAAAAGAGCCTGGCTCTGTGCACCCTCCCTTCTGGTATTTGTACACATGGATGAGATCCTCCTGAGCCTTCTGTTCTCCAGGCTGAACAGCGCCACCTGTCTCAGCCTTTCGTCTCAGGAGAGATGCTCCAGTGCCTTCATCATCTGCGTGGCCCTTCACTGGACTCTCTCCAGTAGCTCCATAGCTCTCTTGTACTGAGGAGCCTACAACTGGACACAGCACTCCCAAGTGTCGCCTCACCAGTGCAGAGAAGTAGCTAACTAGAAAAAAAGTTTCTTTTTATCACTTTTCTGCAGTTTCACAGAGAACTATTTTATATGTACATCCATGTTCTTCTGAAATACAGTAGGGCTTCCTTTTTCCAGAATGCTGTCCTTCAGGAAACGTGCCTTTTCTTTTAACACCTAGGGTATGTGTATGCTGAAGGCAAGGAAAAAAGGGATCTTGCTTTGTCTCTGTTAAACTGTGTTAGCACTGAAAGGAAGACAATTTATTTTGAACTTGGATTCACAATTCCAGTTGAACATTTGACATTAATTGCTTAATTAGTTCAAATCCAATTTGCCTTGTCTTCACTGATACAGTAAGGCATTTTTAGCTAAATAGAGCTAAGACTGTATAATTTTTACAGCAGGTATTGTCCCAAGAATTGTTGCTGACTTTGAGAACATGCTAAGAATGTTTAAGTTCTGCCAGCCTCAGTATGAAAACTTCATGATGCCGTGGACCAGCTTTGGCAGGAGATCCCTTCTGGCTATGCCTTCTCTTGCTTCCCTTGTCAGAGGTTGTTTGTGTATAAATGAGGGTGATGTGTGAAGGTGAAGTCAGGACAGGGATGCCCTCAAGGCCACCAATGGTACGGGTCAACAAAGAATGTCGTACAGAGTACAGTGTTGTACAATGTTGTACATTCCTACAGAGCCCCAGAATCTGTTGGGAAAGCAGACTTCTGCAGTTCTGATATCATCTGAGAGCAGACTAACAAAATTTTCCTTTCACACAGGGTATGTAAGATGGTTTATGATATAAAATGAGAAAAGATCAGGGAAATCCGTGACAAGATGGTAATTTCAGATTGTCTCATTACTAATGCCAATATAAAAAACAAGGCCAGAGTGTGACCAGCTGGAGAGCCGACCTAAAAACTACTTAGGTACTCATCATGGAAGACAAGCAGTACTGATCCACACATGAAAATGCTGGATGTCTATGAAGATAAGTCAATTGTGGAGCAAAGTCAGCCTCTAATTCTGACACAGGGACAGCTGGAACCTTCAGTAGCTCCAGGCTTAGAGGTTTGGTGCAGTGAGAGTCTGCCTTGAAACCAGCTGCCAGGTGGAGACATCCCTGCAGCTTTAACTTTGGGTGTGCAAAGCTAGGAGTGGTACCATTTCCAAGGTGAACTGCTTTGCCTCAGGATCACCCTGAAATGGCAGCAGCGAAATTTGTTACGTAGCATTGCAAGTCGGTTTTGTTCAGAAGAGATCAACAATTTCATCCTGTATTGACCTTTAAATGGCAAAAGCCTGGCTTGTATTAATCTTCACAGTCTGATGGAAAAAGATCGCTGTCTAAGGACAGTCTGTCCCTCTCCCATGCTGAGGTACAAGTGTATCATGGTGACATGCTCATATTGAGTCATGTCTTGTAGATACCTCGGTGAAAATTTAACAGATAGCGTGTATTACATGTATTCGTTAGACATGCTGTATCACGGTGATACTGCTTGATTTGATATCTTGTGTGAGGCTCACCAAATGAAATAATAGAAATAAAAATATATATAAAAATTATAAATACATATTGGCTAAGCAAGGACAAACTCTGAAGATACATCTTCTGGAAAACACAGGCAGGTTAGCAGTTCGATGTTATATATTCTCTTTGAAACCAGGAGAGTGATTTTTCCCTTCAGTTTTTAGCTGCAGTTACTATGGTGACAGAGCTTTTAGGCTGCTGAACTGATGTCACTTCACCAGCGAAGACTGCAGGGGAAGGAGGAATGAGACCTGATTCCTGGCTTTGTTGCTTCTGTCACCGAGCTTTCATTTGTCAGGCATTTAACAAAGGCGTCTTCAACAATGTTTAAATGATGCTGAAGTTCTGTGGCTTGCAGATTTTGCTTGCAGACTGAAAAAATAGGTCTATTCTAGTACCTAAGGCAGGGCTTTTTGCTGTATAAGTATTTGGGCAATTGGGCTGGATCTGTAGGAACAAGGGTGAAAGGACAGAATTTAACATATTATGGTAAAGGCCAGAAGTGCTCATTTAAAATTTGCTAACAAGGTGGATGAAATCATGCGATAGGAAGTTTAGATAGCGCATAAATCGTGTGAGCAGCAAAGGCATCATGAAATTACATATCCAACGGGATCTTATTTAAGGATGAATAAGTAGTTTCCTTAGCCTGGAGAGAGCTGCGATTGTAGCTTCTGTGAATAAGGGTCTGTGCATGGATGACCAGAATCAAATTCAGGAAACCGGCCGTGTCCACAGCATTTCAGGTTCACCAGGAGTGTGCAGCTGGCGCTGTGGCTGTCGGTAGATCTGACTCATTTCCGTGTGCTTGGCTGCGTGTTCGTTTGCTGCACTGATGTGATGCAGTGGTACAGCAAGTTTTTCTGGATGCCCTGGAGTCTGGTCAAAAACAGTGTTGCAAATGACCTTGAAGGTGCCTGGGAAATTTGCAGCTTTGCACTGGTACTGACACAGTTCTGGCATATAAAGGTTAGGAAAATTAGGTTTTGTAATCTTTAACATTTAAACTTGTTCGTACATCCAGCTTTAGGTAACTACATTAGCTGATAAATTTAGTAAGCTGGTCTTTCTCTTAAGTTATTGCATATGCAACAGAAAGAGAAAAGTAATGCAGCACATAGTATAGAGCACCTACATCAGGCTCCTGCTCTGAACTGTCCTCCAGAAAAGCCTTCCTTTCCTTTAAATGAGTAGTAAAACAGGAGATCAACGAAAACAATTTAAAAAACATTTAATAAACTAAACATCTTAGGGATCAAGTGCAGTGTTTGTGCATACCCGTTCTGTTTTCATATTGCAACTGTCAATCTCTGTGGTTAGGTTATGTGTAAAGGGCAGAATCAGGATGCATTAGAGATTTTAAGAAGTCTTTTTATGCTTCAGTGGCTTTAGGACCAGACTCTACATGAAAGTAGAATCAGGTGCAACATGTTCCAGAAAGTTGCTGCTATACAATACTGTCTAAATAGAATTGTTCTGTTCCAGTCATTAAATCTAATTAGAAGTGAAGAAGTGAATTTGGCCTCTCAAGGTAAATTATGTTATTCTGTTGGTTATTCCCTTTAATTATACTGCAATACATGACTCTCACTGCAAACAAAATAATCCCCCTTAATTTCATATTTCTTACTATCTTTGAATCAAATTACTAAACTGTGAAGTGCTATGTTCAAGATCCTCATTTGAGATTCGGCTGATGTGGATGACTGGTTTTGCTGTCATTTCATCTAATATGGCATGCAGCTTGGAGAAGATTGTCACTGCTTTTAGTTTTATCTGTTTGTCCTGCTCTTGCAGTCATCACTGCTGGATTGTGTCAGGACGCCTGCACCATCTACTTTCCTTCTGGCTGCCGGTGACATGCCCGTGGTCAGCACTGTTTGCTGTCGTGTTCTAGGGCTTGCGAAAAGCTTTCATCAAAATAAGGATTCAAGTGGTCTGCGTAATTCAAGACTTGCCAGATCTTCATTCAAGAGGAGGGAAGAGTCCTGTTTTCTGGCACATACCAGCCAGAAGTGTGCATTTCACTTGGGCTTTATGTGTTTGAGTGTTCTTCAATATGTTGTTCATGCAAGGAGCAACTGTGGCTAAGCAAAGATATTGTTATTCACCTGGAATTATAAAGTCTCTTTAAAGTCAGAAGTACTTCCTAGAATATGTTCAGAGAAGAGCCACAAGGATGATGAGGAGTCTGGAGAACAAGCCTTATGAGGAGCGGCTGAGGGAACTGGGCTTGTTTAGCCTGGAGAAGAGAAGGCTGAGGGGAGACCTCATCACCACCTACAACTACCTCAAGGGAGGCTGTAGAGATGTGGGTGCTGGTCTCTTCTCCCAGGTGATGGGGGATAGAACAAGGGGAAACGGCACCAAGCTGTGCCAAGGGAGGTTCAGGTTAGAGATAAGGAGGAAGTTCTTTACTGAGAGGGTCGTCAGAAGCTGGAACAGGCTGCCCAGGGAGGTGGTGGAGTCACCATCCCTGGATGTATTTAAACAGCGGGTAGATGAGGTACTTAAGGATATGGTTTAGGGGGTAGACAGGAGCGGTTGGACATGATGATCTCAGAGGTCTTTTCCAACCGAGCGATTCTGTGATATGCTTTTCAAGGTGCAAATATCATTCTTGGATTCATCTTTCTGCTCTAAATGTGTTCCTGTCTTCATAGTAGCATTCCAGTTTTTAATGAGTAGGAGAGTTTTCAATTTTTCCTATTTTCCTTCCTTTTTCTAGGTTATTCAGCAGAGAAATGAGGAATGTGACCACATTCAGTTTCTAATTGAAGAGAAAGAGTCTAAAGAAGAGGACTACTATGAGGACCTTGACAGATTTGAAGAAAATGGTACCCAAGAGTCTCGCATCAGTCCCTATACTTTCTGCAAGGCCTTTCCTTTCCACATAATATTTGACAGAGATCTGGTGGTCACGCAGTGTGGCAATGCTATATACAGAGTCCTTCCACAGGTTAGATGATTCTCCTGCATGAATAATCACAGAGATTCCTAGTGCTAGATGCTTCACAGGTTTATTTTGAAGAGAAATAAAATAGATTTGGGATTCTGTGTCTAAACAGCATTCCTGTGTAACTGATAATATTTGCTACATTGTGCTCCTCTTGTTTGGAAGAAGTCTGTGAAAATGGCCCTAATTCTACAGCAGCTCTGTTCCTTATGAGCATGTCCATGTGCAGTAAGACAAAAGCTTGAGCAGAGAAAACCTGGTCACCCCTGCAATTCAGGTATTAGCTTGATAACCGGTTCTTTCTCGTAGCTCACTCCAAGATGCGTTTGCTATGAAAGTGGCAGATAACTCTTTAAAGTGGATGTGGGACAGTCAGTGCCACTTGGCCTGGGGTTCAGGAAATGGTCTTGCCCATGCTACTGTATAGTGTAGCAGCAGGTACATAGTCTAGATATTACTTGACAGTAATGCCTTCAAATGCTTAAGCTGTCTGATGCATAGTAACTGAAGAGCAGAAAAACAGAAGTTGCAATATACTTTCTTGGTTTGTGCATCAAAATCATCAGTATTAACTAAGATAAGCCCAACTGAATGGGGCTGTTCTGAATATATATATTTTTATATAAGTATGTTCTGAACTGAAAGCAGCTGCTGCAATTTCCTCTGGTTATTTACAGTAAAAAGATCCATTTAATGTTATGTATTCTGTATATGCATAGGATAGCTCAGTTCTTGCCTGAAAGAGCTGACAGTGTTTCTAAAAATAAGCGACAGGTAAAAGCAGTAATATGAGAGAAGAAAAGGTAAGAATGATGAATACATCAAATGATCTTTACAATTATGTAGGCTAATGTTGCATATACTGTGTTGTTTCTGAATCACTGGCATATATTTTAAAGGCAATTTGATGTTACTTGCTTTTTTTTGCAGTTTGTTTTTTGGTGATTTCTCTCAGAATTTTGCAGAAAAATTTGAAAGAAGAGCATTCTAAGTGTCTCTGCCAGATTTTTCCCAAGGACATTTACTGAACAGCTCTAACTCTTCAGCCTACTGAGGGTGGCCATCAGAATCCTTATTGTCAGAGCTGAGAACATTGCTTATGGAAAAGAGAGATTGGAGGAGGTCACTTAGGAGGAAAAGCTGGAAAGCTTTTTTTACTCTAGAGTGGGAACAGTTTGACAGATCATGAATGTCTAATACAAGTTAACAAAGTCATCTCGCAGACTAGAATTGCACTTTGAAGTCAATCTAATTCTGTTGTAAAATCCTTAGTTTAAAAACCTCATGCTATAATGGAGAAATGCATAAAGTGTGTATTCTTTTCCAGTCAGTATTGTCATCTAATATGACAATAAATCTAATATAATTACACCATGTAAATTTTTATTATAAAACGTAACAGTCTTTTTTTTTTCTTTTTTCTTTTTTTTATTCTAGCTGCAGCCAGGAAATTGCAGTCTGTTGTCAGTTTTCTCCTTGGTCCGGCCTCATATTGATATTAGTTTCCATGGGATCCTCTCACATATCAATACAGTGTTTGTACTGAGGACCAAGGTAACTAGAGAATATTCACCTGGCTTTTCTTTAAGTAAGAGAGAGTTAAGAGGAAATGCTGAAACCTCAGAAGTCTTCAGAGAAAATTCTTTGCACAGTTATACGCTCTGTCCTGAGGCAAGAAAAAGTCACAGGTGTGAATTCATGCGTAGCTTCATAGGAACGGTGAAGGACACGTACTTCATGGCTGATGCTTTCGTTACAAGGGGCCAACCCATTATATGGCATTGCACAAAGTGAATGTAGAAAGGCAATTACGTTTACTTTTGCTTCATAACAATATGGAAGACAAATGCGAAATGTGTTCTTGCTTGGGCCTATATGTTCATACACATTTCTGTGTGCTTTTCTCTAGAGTGCACAGGAGAGGAGATAAGTGAGGTAAACAAATGCAGCATATAGAGTAGCACCTACTGTGCCAAAGAGCCTGTTTATTTCTAGAAACTACCTGAGAGAAACCAACAAATTTTCTTAGAGGTGCTCCCAGGCACAGATAGAACTTCATAGAATAGGCAATGCTTTTGCCAAACTATTGTTAAAAAAATGCAGAAGAAACCAAGAAGTTATGAACATGAACACAGAGAAAGCTACTGTGCTTTGTATCTTTGAGACAGCAAATCACAGTGTTAAAATGCGGGTAGTTCAGATGAGAAATTAATTGGGTTTTAATGTATTCCAAACATTCTGACTGCCTTCATAGTGAAGGCACTTACATACGTGGCCGGGTGCATAACGCATGTGCCATTGCCCTTATATAATTGTGACTTTTCATCACCAGGAGGGGCTGTTGGATGTGGAAAAGCTGGAGTGTGAAGATGAACTGACTGGCACAGAAATCAGCTGCTTACGCCTGAAAGGGCAAATGATCTACTTGCCTGAAGCGGACAGCATTCTCTTTCTTTGTTCGCCAAGGTACTTTAAACCTTGGAAGTTCTGTGATACTGATTCTCATCTCACAATTGCTAATTTTAAGAATGCTTATGAGAGTAGTACTGCAGATATTAATTGGTTCAAGTATTGATTTCATTGGTTTTGGTGTGTTTATACTGAAAAAAAGAGAGAGGAGCGTTTAAACATCCGAACTCGACTGATTATTAAAAGATTCAATATAGACTTTGGGATGTTCTGGCCCAGTTTGTACAAATGGGAATTCCTCACGATTCCATGATTTTTGGCAAGTTTTGTCCTTTGATTCTTACTCTGAGAGTGCTAAGAAATGTCACAATGATTTGGTTTCCTATGTGGATTCATGTATTTTTGCAGTAGTTTTAATGTAATAGAGCAGCAATGATTATGAATGGAGGGCTTATTTAGCTAAGAGCATGTTATGATACAGTTATCACCATTACGATATATTAATCTCCTATGTAAAAGCAATAGAGTGGGTGAAGACAGAAAGAGAAGAGGCTACCTGAACATAATCTTGCTTTTATTTGTGTACTGAAGTATGTACATTTGACTTCTTCATGGAACTCTGTATTTAAATGCAAAAATCAAGAGCCATGTGGTAACATGAATGAACACAAATAAGGTATTTTGTAGAAGGGATATGTTGTACAGTGCATTACAAGTTCAAGAGCATAATCCTTCTGTTATTCAGCGGGCTCTGCTGTTCTTTTGAGTTTTAAATGCTCCATTGACAAGTTTAATTGAGCTCCATTATATATTATATATTTCTCCACATTGCAGTGTGATGAACTTGGATGATTTAACCAGAAGAGGTTTATATCTGAGTGATATTCCACTGCATGATGCTACCCGTGATCTGGTTCTTTTGGGAGAGCAGTTCAGAGAGGAATATAAACTGACTCAAGAGCTTGAGATCCTGACTGACAGGCTGCAACACACACTGCGTGCACTGGAAGATGAAAAGAAAAAGACAGACACGTAAGAACCAAGTCCTGATTTTGAGCTGAAACAGTCACAGCAATATATTATTTATAGCTACATTCTCCGAAAAATAACAGAATCTTGGAAGGAGTATCAGAGATATTCAGGGCTGATAATTTTGGAGTCAAGAAGGAACATTTTACTTTAATGCCTCATACGGTATTTCTTTCTTTAGATTGTCAAATGTCATCTGCAGTCTAGGCTGTTACATGCACAGGTGTTTTGATGGCCTCTTCCCTGATAAGGAGAGTTATGAGAAGTGAACTGATAATCCTTTTTGCTTTGTTAATTCTCTACAACAGTAGTTTTGCAGACTCTCTTACATGCGGTCCCTGTGGCCAAGATTAAGTTGATGAATGCCCAAATGTTAATATTTGATAGAATTCTGTAAACCAGCTCTAGAACACTTTGTCTTTCTGGACTGCCATGCTCACAGGTTAATAGAAGAGAAAAACATATCTTACAAGCCTTGAAAACGGCCTGTGTAAAGGTGAAGTTTTGCAATAGCCTAATACTATGAATTTGATTTTATAGTTACCTGTAGAAATGGATTTGAGACTATCTAGATAATACTACTGTGTAGATATAGGTACATAACAATAATAAAGTATATGCATTGGGCCCCGAATCTGTTTCTACAGGTAACTATAAAGTCAAACTCTTAGCATTAGTCGATGGCAGCTGAGCTCAAGGACTACTGGCAGGTAAATTAAACACAAGTTTGTGTGACAAGCAGTGTGGGGTTGATGGTTGACTCTTATTTATAAAACATATCTCCCATCTCTGTAATAGAAAATTTTCATGTGGATTATACTTCTTTAGTAATAGAATTAACATTTGTTTTTCTGTTAATTCTATAGCTGATATTTTTTTCTGTAGTAGAGTAATGGAAATTACTGTAAAAAGACTTGAAAGGGATGGACAGAAGAGTCAGAGAGAAAATAAGCCTAAAACTATTTTTTCTATTCATTCCTGTTGACTTCTTTATAAATTCATTTTATCTTTAGGAATTCTAGCCACCTTAGCAGCCATTGGGACAGACAGTGTCAGTTACTATATCATGTGCCAAAAGTATTCACTAATTAGAACTCACGTGGTAGGGAACTCGCCAAAAATGCAACTAATGAGGGTTTGTGCAGGAGGCTGTGTACAGAATGATGCTCGAGATTTGGGAAACAATCAGATCTTCAGCTTATCTGTGTAAGGAGGGAAATACACCTTAAGATGGCAGTTAGGAAGTTGAAGGAATAGACGTGAGTAGGGTGAAGCTTTGTGTGCGGGATTTGGTTTTTATTTGCATAATTTGTAATATGAACAAGTGTTAATATGTCATATGGACTTTCGATTAAAAAACATGCAATAAATCCTAAAAGCTGCACTCTCAACAGAAAAGGAACCATTTAGCAATGCATTGGTTGATCAAAGGTGGAAAACTATTTTCTCTCCTCACGGCCTTCTTTGCAGTTTTATGGCTCTGCAAGCAAAACCAGATATATGTGCTGAGGATATGGCAGAAATGCTTAAGCAGAAATGATCCTAGAAACTATTAACAGATCATATCAGAAGAATTAGTAACATATGCTTCATTTTGTTGCTAATTTAGGTGTATTAATGCGTGTTTGAAATAGCATGGCTTTAGGTATGCTGATACAGATTTGTTCCTGTTTCCCAAGGAACATATTGTCGAGTAAACATCTTTTATATCACTCTGATGATGCAAGTATGTTCTAAACTCTATGGGAGACACTAAGTTAATATTTGAGGAGTGCTAATGCCCACATTATTTCTGTTTTTGTTGTGCCTTTTATTTCTCACACTTTTAGATTGCTGTACTCTGTTCTTCCACCATCAGTGGCAAACGAGCTGAGACACAAGCGTCCTGTTCCAGCTAAGCGCTACGACAATGTCACCATTCTTTTCAGTGGCATTGTTGGATTCAACGCCTTCTGTAGTAAACACGCCTCTGGAGAGGGAGCCATGAAGATTGTTAATCTTTTAAATGATCTTTATACGAGATTTGATATTCTGACTGATTCACGAAGGAATCCGTTTGTTTATAAGGTAGGCAGAAGATTTTCTAAGTATTTAATCTGTGACTTTTCAGTAATTTACTATAATGTTACTCTTTTGCATCCTTTGGATTTTTGGTGCTTTTAAAAAAGTAGTTATGTTCTCAGTCTTTGAACCGTGTTACCCAATACTGCATAGCTAAAGAGGAATATGTTGTTTATCTCTAAATGTGTGAAGGAACATAAAGGGCTCAGTTCTCACAGGATTTCTGCACAGTCACCCATTAGGTGGATATATAAATTTACTTCCACATTTAGCAGAGGTGAACACTTACACAAGAAGCTTGTGTTTTCTGCTGCCCCTGTGCTTTAAGTGTTTCAATCATATACCTGCATCTCCTGGTTGTAAATTATCACTTATTATTCAGTTATTCAATGTAAATTTCATTTCTTCATTCAGAATGAGGTGTAGTTGCAGATGTGGCTGATAATGCAGAAATTCAGAAGACCCTGAAAGAGTGCCTCAAGTTGACACAACCACAGTATCATTTTAATGTATTACATTGTGGGCATACAATAAATCCAGTATTTATTGAATTATTAAATTCAATCCTCAATAACAAGCAGAGGCAATGGGAATTAAGTTGATTTGAATGAAAGTGAAGGGAAAATATTTGAAAGGACAAGCGGTCTTGAAGGAAACACTATGTCCATTCTAGTACTTTAAAGTCCACGATAATAAAGTAATTGAAAAATATCTATCTTGATAGGTGGAAACAGTCGGGGACAAGTACATGACAGTGAGTGGTCTACCAGAGCCTTGCATTCATCATGCACGATCTATCTGCCACCTGGCATTGGATATGATGGAAATAGCAGGCCAAGTTCAAGTAGATGGTGAGCCTGTGCAGGTAAGTAAATGTGTGGGCTTGAAGGAAGAGCCTGTTCTGTGCTGTGATGGTAAGGCTTTGAGATATGATAATGCTCAAGTCCCAGTCCATGCAAACTTTGTTACTGTTCGATTTTGAGACTGATACCTACAAGTAATATGAAGAGTCACATGTAAATGTGACATGTGCAGTTCCCAGACCTTACAATCTAATTATTGTGCTGAACCTTTTAAAGGAATAAATTAGGTCCACACAATTTATTTCTGTTTTCCAATTACTTCAATCTAATCTACAAATTCCCATTGCATATTGAGTACAGTTCATTGAGTCATCTTCATCTCAATTAACAGAACAATAATATTCCCTCACTGATATTTTTGATCACGCTTCAGATCCTCACGTCAGCATAAGAAAATATTGCATTAGAAAGTATGGGCAGTTGTGGCAATGATTACTGGCAACAATGTATTTTAGTGCAAGTTAACTCATTTTGGCATTTTATGAAGATGTTGTGGCATCAATAAAACACCTCCAAACCTTGGTCCTATCTCTTGAGCTTTTAAATGCAAAATACTGTGATATTTCCTCTGAGGAACATCTTTTTTCCTTGACCTCCACCATCCATTTCTGCAGCTTCTGAGCACTTCTTTCCACTTTTTAAAATTTGACAGTACATAATAGCAGCATGGCATGGTGTGTGTTGGAAAAACACGGAGTTTATTCTTTTATGTGGGAGGCAGAGCCATGACACTGCATTACCATCAAAAACCAGATTATAGAAAACACAAAATGCAAGGCTTTGAAGAAGCACAAGTAGCAAATTGAAAAAATAAACTAGTAGACAAAAGTGGCATAATACCCTTATCTACTCAGAAGCACCAGATTAGTTGTACTGATTCTGAATATTCCAACTTTATTTTTTCTCTCTAAAGATAACGATAGGAATCCATACCGGTGAGGTAGTCACAGGTGTCATAGGCCAAAGGATGCCACGTTACTGTCTCTTTGGAAATACTGTCAATCTAACAAGCAGAACAGAAACTACTGGAGAAAAGGGAAAGATCAACGTCTCTGAATATACTTACAGGTGAGTGATGCAGTATTTTTATTGATATTGACATCTTAAAAGAAATCACTTTGTCAGCATAACATCAAAGGGTGTGGAATTAAAAGTGACAGGACTCCTGCAATACATTTACATTCATGAGTTCTCATGGAAGTGTCTGGCAGACTGCCTTACAGTATACCATTACTGGTATGCAAATATAATAATGATATAGGGATAAATTTAACTCTTTTGTTAATTTGCTTGCATACCTGTAGCATGTTTAATATTTTAATACAGTGTGTGACGTGCATGCATAGTTCATACATTTACATGTGTTTTTTTTTCAATTTCAGGTGTCTTATGACACCAGAAAATTCAGATCCTCAGTTCCACCTGGAGTACAGGGGTCCAGTTTCTATGAAGGGTAAAAAAGAACCAATGCAGGTTTGGTTTTTGTCCAGAAAGAGTACAGAGACAGAGGTATGACTAACCAGAGTGTAATGTTTTTTTTTAAACAAGGCATAAATATGACAGATTTAATCTAAACCACTGAGATCCATTTGCATTTGCAAAACTAAATGTTCCCTAGAAAAAACGAAGAGTTTTGTTCAACACTATTTCATTAATGCGTTTACTATCTTGACAGCACATTAAAGTCCTTGAATATTTGTCTTTGCAGTTTGTGCAGTCCCTGAAAGAATACTTTTGTATTTTCAAAAAGTCCTTGAGGGAATGCCAAGCGTTTAAATATTTACATCTCTGTCATCTTACAGATTTCTCCACTGTACCAGATTTTGCAATATAATGTCCATTTCTCTTTAGCTGACATGTCTGGTTATCAGCACTTCAAAATTCACCATTTGCTTTCTTACAGTGAGTGAATAATTGTGCCTTCAAATATTTAGGCAACAGTCCAGCAAGTACTTGCAGGCAGGTTCTCACCTGATGTGTGTGGTGGTCTCTTAACCCCAGATGGATCTGCTTGTTCAGAGACTGTTGCAAGACAGAGGTCTTGCTTTAGAAATATACAGGGTGAAAACTATTTCTTCCAAATGACATATGAGCCTAAATCCTCTTCTCAAAATGATGTGGGGTAAAGCTCTTCAAGCACTGAGTGGTCCTTAAGCTTATGCCTGAATTTCAGAAGTCTGGGCGTGTATTAACCAAAATCTCATTAAAAGTCATCTAGAATCATAATTGTGCTACCAACTTAGACACTTAATCAGGTTACAGAGTGCCAGCTGATTTGCCATAGCTGAGCATTTGCATACGTTCCACCTGTTGCCAGCAAGGAGAAAAAAGTGGTAAAAGTAATTTACATAGCTTGAATTTTGTCCTGAAATAATACAGAAAGAAAGTTTTAAGCTAAAGTGTTTAATCTTAAAAGTACACTTGACTAAAATAATGAAGGTCATCAGTTACTTTGGCTGAAATAATTCTTGTAAGTCACAGGAAATTAATGACGCGTCTGAATATTTATGTGCTTCTGAGAATGAAATTTAGGCTGTTAAACTGTTTGGGCTCTTTAGGAGATCTAATCCAGATTTATTACCACTGGTACTCGAGTATATGAATGCTGACTTTTTAACAATAACTCCCAGTATTAACCTGCAGTATTAAACTTCAGGGGAGAGCCTGTACTTTAACTCTGCTGAAGTCTGTATTTTAGTATATATTACAATAATATTCTGGGTGCCACTTTTGATAATACTCTTCTATTTTTATTCTATATCAAGATTAACTATAATTTCACATGGCTGCCATTCCTTCAAATCTATAGTTGTATTTAAAACTTATTTTAATTAAACACCTTTCACTTTTTTCAGCATTATAAATTATGTCCTATCATTTGTAGCAGGGCACGTTGTAATTTTAAATGTAAAATGTCAGAGGGGTACTGAGTCAGGTGGGTATTTTCCTTCCTTCAGCCTCACACGTTTAATATGAATATAGGGTTCAGATAGTTTAGAATTTTAAATATTGCAGTTTCCTTTTAGGGATCTTGTACAACAGCTGGTTTTGCTAATCCTCACAGCAGTTCTGAGAAGTCCTTGCTGATACTATTATCTAGTAATGGAGCTTTGTAGGGGTGCACATGGGGGCAGGAATAAACCTGACTGAAAAACACTGTCAGCCTGATTCTCAGGAGCACTTCAGACTGACAGTTTAAGCACACTCAAAATCTCTCTAATTTTTGTTAGTTTTTATTAATTCTGAAATTCAGGTACACATGTAATTCTTATACAATAGAAAGACTTCTCCCATCACAGGTATTATTACTTCTAAATTCTAGTAAGTTTAGGAGAACAGGAGACTAGAAAGACAAAATCATGTGGTGATTGGAACTGTAATCATTTTGTCAGAGGTGATGTTGAAAAGTGAGAGAATCTAATCCTCTAATCTTTTAATTCTTTTTCATTCCCTGCACAATTTAGTCTGTCCATACGCAAAAAGGTGCACTGAGTTTTACTGCTTTAAGATTTTCTGCACTGTTTGCAGTTTCTCTTTGTCTTGCGAAGGTACTCCTCTTATTTCTGGCACTTTATAGGCTGTATATAGTAGTTGTAATCCAAAAGCAGAAATCAGATAACCGACTTTTTATGTTTCATTGCCTTAGAATAATCACTTTTCTTTATGAAAGGGTGTAGTCTTGGTTTTCTTTTCATAAGCTTATTCTCTCTGACCTTTCAAACACCTACACATGCTGATGTGTTATCATGTGCGGTGCCATTAATTTCAGGGGGATTTTTCGAAACAATAAACACGGCATGTGAACTTATATTCAGAGACTATACAGTAAATTTCCTGAAAGGTCACTCCAGAATATTGCAAGAAGTGGCTGACAGAAGTAAACGTGAAAATATTTCTTAAGTCGTCCTGAAGATAT